TCCCAGCCTGGTGCAGGTCTACAATTTTGTTTCTGGTGTCCTTTGACAGCTCTTTGGTCTTGGCCATAGTGGAGTTTGGAGTGTGACTGTTTGAGGTTGTGGACAGGTGTCTTTTATACTGATAGCAAGTTCAAACAGGTGCCATTAATACAGGTAACGAGTGGAGGACAGAGGAGCCTCTTAAAGAAGAAGTTACAGGTCTGTGAGAGCCAGAAATCTTTCTTGTTTGTGGGTGACCAAATACTTATTTTCCACCATAATTTGCAAATAAATTCATAAAAAATCCTAAAATGTGATTTTCTGGATTTTTTTTTCTCAATTTGTCTGTCATAGTTGACGTGTACCTATGATGAAATTTACAGGCCTCTCTCATCTTTTTAAGTGGGAGAACTTGCACAATTGGTGGCTGACTAAATACTTTTTCTTCCCAACTGTACAATTGCATTGTTTACCTCAGTCAACAGCTGCGGTTCCCGTCCGTACAGCAGGCGATAGGGCGAGTACACTGGAGACATGGATGCGACTGCCTAACAAGATGGAAGACGAGTTGTTGAAATACTCAAGTCTAAGTACATTTGCACTGCTGTCTTTCTCTGTTTCTCTCTCTCTGTCTTTCACTCTCTTCCCATCTCTCGCCCTCTCTCACTTTCATCCTTTCTTACTCACTTTCTTCCTCTGTCTGTCTGTCTGTCTGTCTGTCTGTCTGTGTCTCTGTCTAGCGAAGACACCTAGTTAAGGGCAGTTGGAATTACCATAATTGCTTACACCTATCCACTTGATTGTTCAGGGTTACCTTATAGCTAAGATACCTCAATATGACAGACATATAACTAAATGTTTAGCTAGCAACATGTAATGACCACCTAGCTAAATGGAAAATGGCTGTTTAAAAAAATGGTTATACATAAATCCTTCCAGTGTTCTAATTGATGTTAACTGCTTAACATTACCCTGAATTGTGAATTTCTCTGCCCCCCTACAAATGTTGCGCCTCTTGTCGAGATCAGTGGTGCCTTCATAGTACTTTGCCTGGTTGAAAATATAAAATACAAACTTCTCGAGGGATGCCATTGAAGTGCAAGATACATACAAACAGAAAGCTACAATAACAGCTAGCTAGTTAATGTTAGCTGAATAAAACGGTCTGGCTAGCTAGCTAGCTAGTTGACTAGGCAGGCTGAGGTACATAAGTAGCTAGCAATGTCAATCTAAAAAAACAGCTTAATTTATTTATTCCCTTTAACAAAACTTTCTAATATAACGACAAATATATGGTAAAGTAATCGTTTTTATTTTTCCAGTCTTTTCGGTCCTCTGAAGCAGTAGTAGTTCGCAGGTATTCACCATAAAAAAACACCGTCCTTGGACAGCGATTCTGAGGTAATAATTTTGCCCGCATCCTCCTCATTAAATGGGCCGGTCAGAATTTTGCTAGTTCTAGCAACAGCCCTAGCAACGGAAGCTAGAGCTTACCGAATCCCATTGTGACGCAGGGGGACACACTTTTTGGCAGGGGGACACTTTTTGGCAGGGGGACACTATTTGGCAGGGGGACACTTTTTGGCAGGGGGACACTTTTTGGCAGGGGGACACTATTTGGCAGGGGGACACTATTTGGCAGGGGGACACTTTTTGGCAGGGGGACACTATTTGGCAGGTGGACACTTTTTGGCAGGGGTACACTATTTGGCATGAAAGGCCTCATGAGTTGGGCTTAAAAATATATATATATATAAAATATATATGTATTTAAATAAATTCTCCGTTGGTGGCCTCATGCTCCGCTTGAGGCAAAATAAATAAATATTATTTTTTTGCATGGTCTCAATCCACTGCATCCGCCGATGTCGGCCTTCCGCATCTGCAGTGGAAGGTGGCAGAGCTACTGCGGTGTTTGTCAGACCAGGAGACATCTTGAAAATTGGTCTTCTCACAAAAACGTCTGTAGTGTCCGAACGGTTTGGTTACAAATTAATATGACCCCTCTATGAAAAGATGAGACTCTCACGAACACGATGGTGTTCTCCATTTTGCTCTACGTCTGAAGGTAACCCGTTACCCGGGTTCGAAAAATGACAGGGCATTTCCACATCAGGTAATTCCAGGGTAAAACAATTTTATTATTCTTTCCTGAGCTTTTTAATATCTCTCAGACACAGGACAGACACTTCAAAACATACTTCCTTTTGATTAAATATGTTTTCCCATGTATGAATCTGTTATTCAATGTGTTTCTATGGGCTAATAGTATTAAGGGCAAATGTTTCATCAAATATATTTTATATATATATATATATATATATATATATATATATATATATATATATAGATTTTTTTACACCTATAGGGGTACTAAAATTCCAAATCAAAAAGCGAAATTATCCTTGGTATGACCATCTTAAAACAGTTCCGTATGTTAGCTTAGTAGTAGTCTCACGTCGCTGTCACGCCTCCCTTGGAGGTCTGCTACTCTGTTAAGTATTTATGCATAGTCACTTTAACTCTACCCACATGTACATATTACCTCAACTACCTCAACTAGCCGGTGCCCCCGCACATTGACTCTGCAACGGTACCCCCCTGTATATATAGCCTCCCTACTGTCACTTTATTTTACTGTATATATAGCCTCCCTACTGTCACTTTATTTTACTTCTGCTCTTTTTTTCTCAACACTTTTTTGTTGTTGTTGTTCTATTCTTACTTTTTTTGTTTAAAATAAATGCACTGTTGGTTAAGGGCTGTAAGTAAGCATTTCACTGCAATGTCTGCACCTGTTGTATTCGGCGCATGTGACCAATAAAATTTGATTTGATTTGATTTGATTTGGAGAACGTTGTATCGCAAAAACGCTTTGAATGGTCAGCTGACTCCCAGCAGCAAGATTTTGATTGGATGTAAAAAAAAAAAAAACTAAAAACAGAGTGGACTGCATTTTGTAGGCTACCCTTTGCCAAATAAAAAAAAAGTTTTTTTGTTTAGGAGTGCAAGGGCGAATTGAGTTATTGCACACACACACACTTCATAAAGTAGGCGTTCCCTAACGGAAATATGCAAATAAATGCTAGAACGCACCGATAGGATCTCACTAGCTCGTGCTTGGCTCTGCCCATCTCCTTGCTTGTTCTGCCCACTATGATTCATTTGCTCCCATTGGAAACCACAGGCTCTGGTCTATCTTGGGTTAGTTAGAAAACAAAATCTTTAGTAAGACAGAGGGGTGCTGTTTTGCTCGGTAAGCCTCATGTCTACCAGATGCATCAAACTCTTTGCATTCCGGGAAAGTAATTCACTGTCAATGGAGCAGTCCGGAACACTGCGTCTGGGGATCCCACACTAGGCTGCGGTGTGTTCTCTGGACCTCATGCATTCAATATGTTCAACTTGTGCATTGCTTTACCATGCGGTGGTACAAGCAGAAGTTCATAAACAGTCAAGCCAGTTAGCTAGCTAGCTATCTAACTACAAAGCTAACCACTTTGCTAGATAGCTTAGCTAAGAAATTGCCAGCTTTCCAGCTAATTATTTCATATTCAACTGACCAGGTAATCCAATCCTATTGGCAATGTATTTCCATGCAGCATTTTTAGCATGGAGGTCCCGGTAGCAATCGGCGCTTGGGTCAAACATGGGAGGGAACCCAGAAAAAGCGAGAATGACCTACTCCTCCATGCTGTAAACCTTTCTGCAGCCTTGCGAAGGACATGTGCATCAAGTACAGGGAAATGTCGACTAGACATCTGTCAAAAACAACATATGGCAAAACGCCTGCGCATCTGGTGGACATATGGCATTAGGATGCTTTCTCCAGTGAGATAAGTAGTTTCAACCACTTATTGTGAAATGAAGGAAAGTTGGTGGGTGCACTGTTTGGATGCTGGAATTATTTTTGATGGATGTGTGAAGGTAACCTACTTTTTTGAGGTGGTTTGACAATCAGATGAAAACATCATGACTGGTTGTGTTAATGGCACATTAAAAGGTAATACATTTTTACAGGGGGGGGGGGGGGGGGGGGGGGGGGTACTGTAGCTTAAACAGACAGATTTTTATTGGGTTGTTTTATTGTGCTAATTAGATTTCCGTGGGGGCACAGACATTAAATATATACTGAATTAATATATAAATGCAGCATGTAAAGTGTTGGTCCCATGTTTCATGAGCTGAAATAAAAGATCCCTGAAATTTTCCATATGCACAAAAAGCTTATTTCTCTCAAATGTTGTGCACAAATTTGTTTACATCCCTGTTAGTGAGCATTTCTCCTTAGCCAATATAATCCATCCACCTGACAGGTGTGGCATATCAAGAAGCTGATTAAACAGCATGATCATTACACAGGTGCACCTTGTGCTGGGGACAATAAAAGGCCACTCTAAAATGTGCAGTTTTGTCACACAACACAATGCCACAGATGTCTCCAGTTTTGAGGGAGCGTGCAATTGGCATACTGACTGCAGGAATGTCCACCAAAACTGTTGCCAGAGAATGTAATTTTAATTTCTCCACCATAAGCTGCCGCCATCGTCATTTTAGAGAATTTGGCAGTACAACCGGCCTCTCAACCACAGATCATGTGTAACCACGCCAGCCCAGGACCTCCATATCCGGCTTCTTCACCTGCGGGATCGTCTGAGACCAGCCACCCAGACAGCTGATGAAACTGAGGAGTATTTCTGTCTTTAATAAAGCCCTTTTGTGGGGGAAAACTCATTCTGATTGGCTGGGCCTGGCTCCCCAGTGGATGGGCCTGGCTCCCAAGTGGGTGGGCCTATGCCCTCCCAGGCACACCCATGGCTGCGCCCCTGCCCAGTCATGTGAAATCCATAGATTAGGGCCTAATTAATTATTTCAATTGACTGATTTCCTTATATGAACGGAAACTCAGTAAAATCGTTGATTGTTGCGTTTATATTTTTGTTTAGTATAGATCAGTGCTGCATCGACCACCATGACCATCGTCTCACTGGCACCACCTGCTGGCTTCTCAAACTTCCGTTTCAGGGGATGAAGGCGCCGCCGCTGACTGTTTCATTCGAATAGTTAGATCAGATACATATATGTAGCATCTATAGTGTCGTCGTGAGTTAGAAATAGTTTTCAATTGATTGGCAATTTCTACAGATATTGGACACACATTGTTCGGAACCTTAATGTCAGATGTCCTCTTGTTCCAGTCGGCGTGTTTTTGTATTCGCACTTCATTCTCGATCAACCTGTAAAATTTGTCAAACATCAGGAGAGGAGCCAGGTAGGATGCTAGATACATTTAAAATCTAAATTGGTATTGTGGGACGTGTTGGTTAACCGATGTATCTGACAAAGACATCATCAGCTTGGTTACACGTTCTGCTGCAGCACATACGCAGCTAGCTAGTTATTGTTAGCTAACATTAGATAGGAAGTTAACGTTAGCTCGCTAACTAAATCTGTCATTTGTTGATAACAACTGAACGATGGTCCACCGCACGCTACTTTATTCTGTTGCCTGTATAGCCTTCTGTCAGGAATCAAAGATACATGCTTATATGGGCTAAAATGATCAAACACCAGCCTATTAGTTAGCGTACGTCGTTAGCTAGCTAGATGCATAGCCAGTAGCTAACGTTAGGGGAGCTAGCTAAGAGCGTAGGCTGTGGTTTATGCCGCGTTCAAAACAACTGGGTACTCGGACATTTCCGACTTCAGTGTGTTCAAAACAACTGGGAATTCGGAGAAATAAAACTATCTCCAACTGGGAAAAATCGATTTGAACGGTCATCCAACTCGGGAACTCGGGCCTCTTTCTAGAGCTCAGACCTGAAGAACACTGACGTCATGATTTTACCTAAAAGTTCGCAGTTCTGAACGCTGCATTAGGGCTGTCACTCCTATCTTATGGTGCTTTCAATACAAATAATGCCGCGTTCAAAACACCTGGGAACTCTGAAATCTCTGCCTTCCGAACGTTCAAAACACCTGGGAACTCGGATAAAAACGGGCTCCTACTGGGGAAATCGATTTGAATGGTCATCCAACTCGGGAACCCGGACCTCTTTATAGAGCTCCGACTTTCCGATCTGAAGGTCATGATTTGACCTCGTATTTTCAGAGTTCGTGAACCCGGCATAGTTATTCGTAAAAAAGCCAATCATGACGTCAGTGATAATTTGACAGATACATAACTTATGACATTTGGCTGTGGTAACTTTTGCCGCTTTCAAAACAACGGGGAACTCGAAAATCTCCGACTTCAGTGAGTTCAAGACAACTTGGGGGGGAAAAAAAGCTCCTTCTGAGAAACATATTTTGAAAAGGTCATCCAACTCAGAATTCCAAGTCAAACTCTGGCATCTGTGCTTTCAATACAACAGGGAACTTGGAATCTTAAGGTCGGAAAGTCCGAATTCTTTAAAGATGCCAGTGTCCGACTTGGAATTCTGAGTTGGAGCTCGTTTTTTCCCAGTTGTCTTGAAAGCACCATTTGATTGCCAGTAAGTTGGCACCAAGCGCATCTAGCTAGCTAGGTGGCCAAAGCTAGTATTGCAAGCATCTGATGTCTATCAAACATTACATTTCCTGTAGCTCAGTTGGTAGAGCATGGCGCTTGCAACGCCAGGGTTGTGGGTTCGTTTCCCACGGGGGGCCAGTATAAAAATGTATGCACTCACTAACTGTAAGTCGCTCTGGATAAGAGCGTCTGCTAAATGACTAAAATGTAAAAAAATAAACTGCATCCCCTGGTTGAAAAGAAACAGGCTGCTCGACTCCCTGGGAAGTGGGGAAAAACAGTAGCAAGTGCAACTGAGTGGACTATCCTGGTTAATTAACAAATACAAAAGGCTAGCTAACTCACACTATCGCCTCATGGTAGGCTGTCTCTGTTTTTTAGGAAATGGAGTTTGCGGAGCTGATTAAGACCCCCAGAGTGGATGGGGTGGTGCTGAGGAGACCCTTCCTGCCCACGGTGGAGGGAACTCTCTGTCTGACAGGACATCACCTCATACTAAGCTCCAGACAGGACAACACAGAGGAACTCTGGCTGTTGCACGCTAACATCGACGCCATAGAGAAGAGGTGGGTCTGTGTGTAGGGGGGATATTTGGGGTTAGGGTCTTGCTAGTAGGTGTAAAGACCTAAGTATCAGGGTGAGGGGTCAATGTTAGGATCAGGGGTGATGGTAAGGAGGGGTCAGGGTTAGGAAGGGGTGAGGGGGTCAATGTTAGGATCAGGGGTGATGGTAAGGAGGGGTCAGGGTTAGGAAGGGGGTCATGGTTATGGTCAGTGTTAACCCTCTCCTCCCCCCTGTCTGCAGGTTTGTGGGGTCTCTGGGCACCATCATAGTCAAGTGCAAAGACCTCAGGGTGATTCAGCTGGATATCCCTGGCATGGAGGAGTGCCTCAACGTCGCCAGCTCCATCGAGGTGAGGAGAGACTACAGTCGCCATGTCTTATATTGGAACAGCAAAAGGAATGAATAGGAACAATGCAGAAGGACCAGTAAACTAGGCTCTGTGTCGATCCCACCATGGGGATACACCTCCAGAGGAGTTTCTGTGGTTATAATCTCGTTCCCAGACACTTCCGCCTAAATGCGTGAAGAGTGGTGGACCAACGCATCAAACTTGGCCTTCGTTAGCCGATGCAGAGAGCCGAAAGAACCCCCCCCCCCCCCCCGGCGCCAATAGAATTGGCTTAATCTACCCACCAATCATCTCCGACAACACCTTCCCCCTAACTCCCCCCCCCCCCGTACGCTAGCAAACCACAAGCACAGAGCCACGCCTCAGTCGTGTGATTCACTAACATTAAAATAACTAATACTTTACTCAGTAGGTCCCATATAATTATATGGTGTCTCCTACTAAGGCCAACTTTGAGTGGTTGATATCCCAGGTTTATATGTGCAATAGCCTGGGGAGGAGGTTACTATGGTTCTCACAAGTTGTGGTCCCCCTTCTCTATGAAGTGTGCACTCGTTCACTATAAAGTGCATCATCAACATAATATATCTCCTCTCTCTTCCTCTAGGCTCTGTCCACTCTGGACTCTGTCTCGTTGATGTACCCGTTCTTCTACCGGCCCATGTTTCAGGTCATCGAGGATGGATGGAACTCTTTCCTTTCAGAGGACGCCTTCAAAGACCTGGAGTCCATGGTAATGTAGGGCTGCTGGGACCTGCTCCGATAATACACTGAGTGGACAAAACATTAAGAACACCGTCCTAATATTGAGTTGCACCCCCCTTTTGCCCTCAGAACGGCCTCAATTCGTCAGGGTATGGACTCTACAAGGTTTAGAAAGCGTTAGACAGGGATGCTGGCCCACGTTGACTCCAATGCTTCTCACGGTTGTGTCAAGTTGGCTGGATGTCCTTTGGGTGGTGGACCATTCATGACACACACGGAAAACTGTTGAGCAGCGTTGCAGTTCTTGACACAAACCGGTGCGCCTGGCACCTACTACCATAACCCGTTCAAAGGCACTTAAATATTTTGTCTTGCCCATTCACCCTCTAAATGGCACAGATACACTATCCATGTCTCAAGGCTTAGAAATTATTCTATAACCTGTCTCCTCCCCTTCATCTACACTGATTGAAGTGGATTTAACAAGTGACATCAATAAGGGATCATAGCTTTCACCTGGTCAGTCTGTCATGAAAGAGCTATGTGTTCTTAATGTTTTGTACACTCAGTGTAGATTGAGCTAATTGCCACTGGATGTTAAATGGCTGTTTCTAATTGCCACTGCATGTTAAATGGCTGTTTCTAATTGCCACTGGATGTTAAATGGCTGTTTCTAATTGCCACTGGATGTTAAATGGCTGGTTTTAATTGCCACTGGATGTTAAATGGCTGTTTCTAATTGCCACTGGATGTTAAATGGCTGTTTCTAATTGCCACTGGATGTTAAATGGCTGTTTCTAATTGCCACTGGATGTTAAATGGCTGTTTCTAATTGCCACTGCATGTTAAATGGCTGTTTCTAATTGCCACTGGATGTTAAATGGCTGTTTCTAATTGCCACTGGGTGTTAAATGGCTGTTTCTAATTACCACTGCATGTTAAATGGCTGTTTCTAATTGCCACTGGATGTTAAATGGCTGTTTCTAATTGCCACTGGATGTTAAATGGCTGTTTCTAATTGCCACTGCATGTTAAATGGCTGTTTCTAATTACCACTGGATGTTAAATGGCTGTTTCTAATTGCCACTGGATGTTAAATGGCTGTTTCTAATTGCCACTGCATGTTAAATGGCTGTTTCTAATTACCACTGGATGTTAAATGGCTGTTTCTAATTGCCACTGGATGTTAAATGGCTGTTTCTAATTGCCACTGGATGTTAAATGGCTGTTTCTAATTACCACTGGATGTTAAATGGCTGTTTCTAATTGCCACTGGATGTTAAATGGCTGTTTCTTTTAGATCTAGATGTTTTGGTTTCCAGGTTTATTTGTCAAATAAGGAAAAAAGCTCTTGGGGTTCATTATGTTCATTTTCAATAGTTGTAAATAATGTTCTGTCAAATCAAATGTATTTTATAAAGCCCTTTTACATCGGCAGATGTCACAAAGTGCTATACAGAAACCCAGCCTAAAACCCAGCTTTCCTTAAGTATTTTAATGATCAAGTCCCTCCACCCCACCCTCTCCTCTCCTTCCACCCCACCCTCTCCTCTCCTCTCCCCTCTCCCTCCACCCCACCCTTTCCTCTCCCTCCACCCCACCCTCTCCTCTCCCTCCACCCCACCCTCTCCTCTCCCTCCACCCCACCCTCTCCTCTCCCTCCACCCCACCCTCTCCTCTCCCTCCACCCCACCCTCTCCTCTCCCTCCACCCCACCCTCTCCTCCCTCCACCCCACCCTCTCCTCTCCCTCCCACCCCCACCCTCTCCTCTCCTCTCCCTCCACCCCACCCTCTCCTCTCCACCCCACCCTCTCCTCTCCCTCCCTCCCTCTCTCCATCCTAGACTGAAGAGTGGCGTCTGAGTGATGTGAATAAGGACTACAGTGTGTGTTCCTCCTACCCTCCCCTGGTGGCCGTACCTAAAGATGTGGATGACGACACCCTAAGGAAAGCTGCCGCCTTCCGCCACGGGGGGCGCTTCCCCGTTCTCAGCTACTATCACAAGAAGAACGGCATGGTGAGAGGAGAGCACAGCACCATGGGAAATGGAGTTCACAGTCACTGTTCTCGCCCACCATGTTCATCATTTGTGTGCCAGAATGACTTGAGGTCTCTTGGCTTTTCAACATATTAAACCCCAACTGAAATGGTCTATTTGAGTCAGATCTTAAAGGGAAACTCCACCCAAAAACTATATTTTGGAATTTGTTTCATTCGTCCATTGTTGATATAGTCCCAAAAATGTTTTGCATGTCAGCAATCAAGTTTTCAACGTAAATAAAAATACAGAAATACAGCCAGTATGATAGTTTTTGGGTGGCGTTTTCCTTTAAGCCTGTAAAGGTAGTAAAAGTATAATATTTCTGTATGGACATAAATACATTTACATTTTAGTCACTTAGCAGGCATTCTTATCCAGTGACTTGGTCAGATAAAACCATAGCAAGAGTGAAATATAACAACCTAATTAACCAATCAAAATGCTCAATTTCTGTCTTCCTCTGTGGTGTCTACTCCTTGACCCCTGACCTCTAATCCCTGTCCCCAGGTGATGATGCGTTCAGGCCAGCCTCTGACCGGCACCAACGGGCGTCGCTGTAAGGAAGACGAGAAGTTGATCAACGCCACGTTGCGGGCGGGGAAACGCGGCTACATCATCGACACGCGTACCGTCGGCGTAGCGCAGCAGGCCAAGGCACGGGGAGGAGGGTTCGAATCAGAGGCCAACTACCCACAGTGGAGGAGGATTCACAAGGCTATAGAGAGGTGATGGAGGTGATGGATGGAAGGGAGGGAGAGGTATACAATAACTGATATGATAGAGGCCTCTACTAGCCAAAAGCCTGTATTAGCATGGGCAGCACCATTAAGATCAGCCAATTTATTATACTTGTGAGCAAACGTTCCATAACTGCAGGTGGCAAAAAAAATCACCAACCTTTGCTTTATACCTCTTCCAACAACACACTCCAGGTGGCAGTGTGCACCCTTTCAGTTTGTTTACCAACATAGAAGAAGAAAATGGACTACTTCAAAATGGAAATTGCCTCCCTGGCGCTGCCTGTGCACTCACAGACGGCGTAATGGAAATGATACAGACGGGTTAGCTGACAACGTCACAAGAAACGATGTGCGCGCGTCGACGGGGCAGAAGGCCGTGTGGTGTTATGGTTCTGGACGGTCAGATCGCTACCAACAATGACAAGAAGATGCCATGTAAGGAATCGTAGGTGGCTCGTTTTACCTTTGACTCATGTCACATCAATGCTAATATGGCAAAAAATCATTGCTTGTTAGCTAGCTAACCAACAACTGTAACGATGTATTTGAGAGACAACAAGTCACCAACTCGGATACTTCCTGTGCCTCGACCTGTTGCTTTGGCCTGTTGTCTCCGAGGTTTTACCTTGTTTTATTTTGTTTCATGTATGTTTGTGTCAACACTTGCTACCAACTAGCCAGCTAGTTAGCTAGGTTGCAATGGAGCCCACGTCTTCTGGAATAGCTAACGAACGTTTCCAGCGCTGTAGAAGCTGTATATTACTCTCTTGTCCAGGACGATATTGACAATCCGGAGTTCCAATGTGGCAATTGTTTACTTGCGCAGGATTACACGAATGAGGTGGCTATGCTTAGCAAGCAAATCTTAATTCTGCGCAAACTTATGCGGAAAATTCTCAACTCCTATTGCTGGACGCCGCTCGGGCCTGATGGATGTTTCCCCTCCTTGTCATCTGTCCCTATCCGAATGGGCTGTGCTACCTGGAACTTGCCTGCCAAGGAAGTCGTCTCCATCTGCTTCTCCTCCTCCATCTTTTAATGGAGTAGACGGAGAACAGCAAGAAGATTGTTCGAATCAGCGCTGGTCCCATGTCACAAGTTGTGGAAACCGAAGGCAGCGGCATGCTGCTAAGCGGACTGGAGTGACTGCGAGAGGTTCGGAGCAGATTGACATGAGGAATAGCTTTCGCTGCACTGGTGCCTGATCTACCGGCGCCTTCATAGCTGGAATTGTCTGCGTTGGCGATACAGACTGCAACTACACTGATGCCAGCAGCGGCTATGTCGTCGAGTTCGGCTCCTTTCCCTCTCTCTGGATCTGACGGGGCACTGCCTGCTGTGGGAGGTCTGGACCTATTGCCGGGAGCAGCGGGCGTACGCTATCCTGCTTCTCGTGGACCCGTGAAAGGCTCAACAAATTGTGTGAGGGGTAGGAATGGGCGGATTTCTCCATTCCCTTCTCCGGCCGTTGTATTGGGCAGTTCAATGGTGAGAAATGTCTCAGTCCCTGGAGCAAAAACTTTGTGGTATCCAGGAGCACGAGTACAGGACATCAATAAGCTGCTCCCAAACATTTTAAAACCAGCATCAGGAAATTGAGTCAATCATTGTTCATGTGGGATTCAATGACATTATGAACGGCAGCTCAGAACAGCTGAAGATGGATTTTAAAGAACTGATTGGGTCACTGCTTGACACCAACAAACGCCCCATAATATCTGGCCCACTGCCCTCCCTAAATCGTGGTTTTATTGACCATTTTGATACCTTCTGGAAACAAAGCTCGTTTTATAAGGAGGATGGGATCCACCCAAATCATTTGGGTTCCTGGATCCTTTCACAGCATTATAAGGCTGCGCTGAGACAATGACTTATCAATGACCCAAATCCAGCTCAGTTAATCCCTACCATTGTGTCGCTGAGTTGTCATAACCTACCAGGGTAGTTACAAACAGCACAGGAATGAAATCATCATGTATTGATCACATCTTTACTAATGCTGCAGAAATTTGCTTTAAAGCAGTATCCAGATCCATCGGTTGGTAGAGCGTGGCGCTTGCAACGCCAGGGTTGTGGGTTCGATTCCCACGGGGGGCCAGTGTGAAAAAATAAAAAGAATGTATGCACTCACTAACTGTAAGTCGCTCTGGATAAGAGCGTCTGCTAAATGACTAAAATGTAATGTAAAAATGTGATCACAATATAGTAGCCATATCTAGGAAAACCAAAGTTCCAAAGGCTGGGCCTAATATAGTATATAAGAGGTCATACAATAAGTTTTGTAGTGATTCCTATGTTGGTCCGTGGTGTGCAATGAGGAGCAAACAGACACTGCACTTGACACATTTATGAAATTGCTTATTCCAGTTCCTAATAAGCATGCACCCATTAAGAAAATGACGGTTAAATCCCATTGGAATGATGAGGAATTGAAAAATGGTATATTTGAGAGGGATGAGGCAAATAAGTCTAGCAGCACAACCGATTGGCAAACATACTGCAAATTGAGAAATCATTTGACTAAACTGAATAAAAATAAGAAGAAACTACACTATGAAACAAAGATAAAAGACATAAATAATGTAGTAAAAAGCTTTGGAGCACCTTAAATGAAATTTTGGGCAAAAAGGCAAACTCAGCTCCATCATTCATTGAATCAGATGGCTCACTCATCACAAAACCCACTGATATTGCCAACTGCTTTAATGATTTTTTTCATTGGCAAGATTAGCAAACGTAGGCATGACATGCCAGCAACAAACGCTGACACTACACATCCAAGTATATCTGACCAAATTATGAAAGACAAGCATTGTAAGTTTAAATTCCGTAAAGTGAGTATTTTCCAGGAGAGCCTGATAAAGCTGGTAGAAGCCTGTAATGACCTCCCATCTCCTCCCCCCCCCCCCCCCCCCCAGGTCCAGTATTCTCCAGGAGAGCCTGATAAAGCTGGTAGAAGCCTGTAATGACCTCCCATCTCCCCCCCCCCCCCCCCCCCCCCCCCCCAGGTCCAGTATTTTCCAGGAGAGCCTGATAACGCTGGTAGAAGCCTGTAATGACCTCACATCTCCTCTCTCCCCCCCCCCCAGGTCCAGTATTCTCCAGGAGAGCCTGATAATGCTGGTAGAAGCCTGTAATGACCTCACATCTCCTCTCTCCCCCCCCCCCCCCCCCCCCCCCCAGGTCCAGTATTCTCCAGGAGAGCCTGATAAAGCTGGTAGAAGCCTGTAATGACCTCACATCTCCTCTCTCCCCCCCAGGTCCAGTATTCTCCAGGAGAGCCTGATAAAGCTGGTAGAAGCCTGTAATGATCTCCTCTCTCCCCCCAGGTCCAGTATTCTCCAGGAGAGCCTGATAAAGCTGGTAGAAGCCTGTAATGATCTCCTCTCTCCCCCCCAGGTCCAGTATTCTCCAGGAGAGCCTGATAAAGCTGGTAGAAGCCTGTAATGATCTCCTCTCTCCCCCCCAGGTCCAGTATTCTCCAGGAGAGCCTGATAAAGCTGGTAGAAGCCTGTAATGATCTCCTCTCTCCCCCCCCAGGTCCAGTATTCTCCAGGAGAGCCTGATAAAGCTGGTAGAAGCCTGTAATGACCTCCCATCTCCTCTCTCCCCCCCCCCAGGTCCAGTATTCTCCAGGAGAGCCTGATAAAGCTGGTAGAAGCCTGTAATGATCTCCTCTCTCCCCCCCCAGGTCCAGTATTCTCCAGGAGAGCCTGATAAAGCTGGTAGAAGCCTGTAATGACCTCCCATCTCCTCTCTCCCCCCCAGGTCCAGTATTCTCCAGGAGAGCCTGATAAAGCTGGTAGAAGCCTGTAATGACCTCCCACCTCCTCTCTCCCCCCCCAGGTCCAGTATTCTCCAGGAGAGCCTGATAAAGCTGGTAGAAGCCTGTAATGACCTCCCATCTCCTCTCTCTCCCCCCCAGGTCCAGTATTCTCCAGGAGAGCCTGATAAAGCTGGTAGAAGCCTGTAATGACCTCACATCTCCTCTCCCCCCCAGGTCCAGTATTCTCCAGGAGAGCCTGATAAAGCTGGTAGAAGCCTGTAATGATCTCCTCTCTCCCCCCCAGGTCCAGTATTCTCCAGGAGAGCCTGATAAAGCTGGTAGAAGCCTGTAATGATCTCCTCTCTCCCCCCCAGGTCCAGTATTCTCCAGGAGAGCCTGATAAAGCTGGTAGAAGCCTGTAATGATCTCCTCTCTCCCCCCCAGGTCCAGTATTCTCCAGGAGAGCCTGATAAAGCTGGTAGAAGCCTGTAATGACCTCCCATCTCCTCTCTCCCCCCCAGGTCCAGTATTCTCCAGGAGAGCCTGATAAAGCTGGTAGAAGCCTGTAATGACCTCCCATCTCCTCTCTCCCCCCCAGGTCCAGTATTCTCCAGGAGAGCCTGATAAAGCTGGTAGAAGCCTGTAATGACCTCACATCTCCTCTCTCCCCCCAGGTCCAGTATTCTCCAGGAGAGCCTGATAAAGCTGGTTGGTCCCGTATTCTCCAGAGAGCCTTATAAAGCTGGTAGAAGCCTGTAATGACCTCCCATCTCCTCTCTCCCCCCCAGGTCCAGTATTCTCCAGGAGAGCCTGATAAAGCTGGTAGAAGCCTGTAATGACCTCCCATCTCCTCTCTCCCTCCCAGGTCCAGTATTCTCCAGGAGAGCCTGATAAAGCTGGTAGAAGCCTGTAATGATCTCCTCTCCCCCCCAGGTCCAGTATTCTCCAGGAGAGCCTGATAAAGCTGGTAGAAGCCTGTAATGACCTCACATCTCCTGCTCTCCCCCCCAGGTCCAGTATTCTCCAGGAGAGCCTGATAAAGCTGGGTAGAAGCCTGTAATGACCCTCCCATCTCCCCTCTCCCCCCCAGGTCCAGTATTATCCAGGAGAGCCTGATAAAGCTGGTAGAAGCCTGTAATGATCTCCTCTTCTCCCCCCCAGGTCCATTATTCTCCAGGAGAGCCTGATAAAGCCGGTAGAAGCCTGTAATGACCTCCCATCTCCTCTCTCCCCCCCAGGTCCAGTATTCTCCAGGAGAGCCTGATAAAGCTGGTAGAAGCCTGTAATGATCTCCTCTCTCCCCCCCCAGGTCCAGTATTCTCCAGGAGAGCCTGATAAAGCTGGTAGAAGCCTGTAATGACCTCACATCTCCTCTCTCCCCCCCAGGTCCAGTATTCTCCAGGAGAGCCTGATAAAGCTGGTAGAAGCCTGTAATGATCTCCTCTCTCCCCCCCCAGGTCCAGTATTCTCCAGGAGAGCCTGATAAAGCTGGTAGAAGCCTGTAATGACCTCCCATCTCCTCTCTCCCCCCCAGGTCCAGTATTCTCCAGGAGAGCCTGATAAAGCTGGTAGAAGCCTGTAATGACCTCCCATCTCCTCTCTCTCCCCCAGGTCCAGTATTCTCCAGGAGAGCCTGATAAAGCTGGTAGAAGCCTGTAATGACCTCCCATCTCCTCTCTCCCCCCCCCCAGGTCCAGTATTCTCCAGGAGAGCCTGATAAAGCTGGTAGAAGCCTGTAATGACCTCCCATCTCCTCTCTCCCCCCCCAGGTCCAGTATTCTCCAGGAGAGCCTGATAAAGCTGGTAGAAGCCTGTAATGACCTCCCATCTCCTCTCCTCTCTCCCCCCAGGTCCAGTATTCTCCAGGAGAGCCTGATAAAGCTGGTAGAAGCCTGTAATGACCTCCCATCTCCTCTCTCCCCCCCCCAGGTCCAGTATTCTCCAGGAGAGCCTGATAAAGCTGGTAGAAGCCTGTAATGATCTCCTCTCTCCCCCCCAGGTCCAGTATTCTCCAGGAGAGCCTGATAAAGCTGGTAGAAGCCTGTAATGACCTCCCATCTCCTCTCTCCCCCCCAGGTCCAGTATTCTCCAGGAGAGCCTGATAAAGCTGGTAGAAGCCTGTAATGATCTCCTCTCTCCCCCCCAGGTCCAGTATTCTCCAGGAGAGCCTGATAAAGCTGGTAGAAGCCTGTAATGACCTCACATCTCCTCTCTCCCCCCCAGGTCCAGTATTCTCCAGGAGAGCCTGATAAAGCTGGTAGAAGCCTGTAATGACCTCCCATCTCCTCTCCTCTCTCCCCCCAGGTCCAGTATTCTCCAGGAGAGCCTGATAAAGCTGGTAGAAGCCTGTAATGACCTCACATCTCCTCTCTCCCCCCCAGGTCCAGTATTCTCCAGGAGAGCCTGATAAAGCTGGTAGAAGCCTGTAATGATCTCCTCTCTCCCCCCCAGGTCCAGTATACTCCAGGAGAGCCTGATAAAGCTGGTAGAAGCCTGTAATGACCTCACATCTCCTCTCTCCCCCCCCCCCAGGTCCAGTATTATCCAGGAGAGCCTGATAAAGCTGGTAGAAGCCTGTAATGATCTCCTCTCTCCCCCCCAGGTCCAGTATTCTCCAGGAGAGCCTGATAAAGCTGGTAGAAGCCTGTAATGACCTCCCATCTCCTCTCTCCCCCCAGGTCCAGTATTCTCCAGGAGAGCCTGATAAAGCTGGTAGAAGCCTGTAATGATCTCCTCTCTCCCCCCCCAGGTCCAGTATTCTCCAGGAGAGCCTGATAAAGCTGGTAGAAGCCTGTAATGACCTCACATCTCCTCTCTCCCCCCCAGGTCCAGTATTCTCCAGGAGAGCCTGATAAAGCTGGTAGAAGCCTGTAATGATCTCCTCTCTCCCCCCCCAGGTCCAGTATTCTCCAGGAGAGCCTGATAAAGCTGGTAGAAGCCTGTAATGACCTCCCATCTCCTCTCTCCCCCCCCCCAGGTCCAGTATTCTCCAGGAGAGCCTGATAAAGCTGGTAGAAGCCTGTAATGACCTCACATCTCCTCTCTCCCCCCCCCCAGGTCCAGTATTCTCCAGGAGAGCCTGATAAAGCTGGTAGAAGCCTGTAATGACCTCCCATCTCCTCTCTCCCCCCCAGGTCCAGTATTCTCCAGGAGAGCCTGATAAAGCTGGTAGAAGCCTGTAATGACCTCCCATCTCCTCTCTCCCCCCCAGGTCCAGTATTCTCCAGGAGAGCCTGATAAAGCTGGTAGAAGCCTGTAATGATCTCCTCTCTCCCCCCAGGTCCAGTATTTTCCAGGAGAGCCTGATAAAGCTGGTAGAAGCCTGTAATGATCTCCTCTCTCCCCCCCCAGGTCCAGTATTCTCCAGGAGAGCCTGATAAAGCTGGTAGAAGCCTGTAATGATCTCCTCTCTCCCCCCCCAGGTCCAGTATTCTCCAGGAGAGCCTGATAAAGCTGGTAGAAGCCTGTAATGACCTCCCATCTCCTCTCTCCCCCCCAGGTCCAGTATTCTCCAGGAGAGCCTGATAAAGCTGGTAGAAGCCTGTAATGACCTCCCATCTCCTCTCTCCCCCCCCCCAGGTCCAGTATTCTCCAGGAGAGCCTGATAAAGCTGGTAGAAGCCTGTAATGACCTCCCATCTCCTCTCTCCCCCCCAGGTCCAGTATTCTCCAGGAGAGCCTGATAAAGCTGGTAGAAGCCTGTAATGACCTCCCATCTCCTCTCTCCCCCCCCCAGGTCCAGTATTCTCCAGGAGAGCCTGATAAAGCTGGTAGAAGCCTGTAATGACCTCACATCTCCTCTCTCCCCCCCCAGGTCCAGTATTCTCCAGGAGAGCCTGATAAAGCTGGTAGAAGCCTGTAATGATCTCCTCTCTCCCCCCCCCAGGTCCAGTATTCTCCAGGAGAGCCTGATAAAGCTGGTAGAAGCCTGTAATGATCTCCTCTCTCCCCCCCCAGGTCCAGTATTCTCCAGGAGAGCCTGATAAAGCTGGTAGAAGCCTGTAATGACCTCCCATCTCCTCTCTCCCCCCCAGGTCCAGTATTCTCCAGGAGAGCCTGATAAAGCTGGTAGAAGCCTGTAATGATCTCCTCTCTCCCCCCCAGGTCCAGTATTCTCCAGGAGAGCCTGATAAAGCTGGTAGAAGCCTGTAATGACCTCCCATCTCCTCTCTCCCCCCCAGGTCCAGTATTCTCCAGGAGAGCCTGATAAAGCTGGTAGAAGCCTGTAATGATCTCCTCTCTCCCCCCCAGGTCCAGTATTCTCCAGGAGAGCCTGATAAAGCTGGTAGAAGCCTGTAATGACCTCACATCTTCTCTCTCTCCCCCCAGGTCCAGTATTCTCCAGGAGAGCCTGATAAAGCTGGTAGAAGCCTGTAATGACCTCCCATCTCCTCTCTCCCCCCCAGGTCCAGTATTCTCCAGGAGAGCCTGATAAAGCTGGTAGAAGCCTGTAATGATCTCCTCTCTCCCCCCCAGGTCCAGTATTCTCCAGGAGAGCCTGATAAAGCTGGTAGAAGCCTGTAATGACCTCCCATCTCCTCTCTCCCCCCCAGGTCCAGTATTCTCCAGGAGAGCCTGATAAAGCTGGTAGAAGCCTGTAATGACCTCCCATCTCCTCTCTCCCCCCCCAGGTCCAGTATTCTCCAGGAGAGCCTGATAAAGCTGGTAGAAGCCTGTAATGATCTCCTCTCTCCCCCCAGGTCCAGTATTCTCCAGGAGAGCCTGATAAAGCCTGTAATGATCTCCTCTCTCCCCCCCAGGTCCAGTATTCTCCAGGAGAGCCTGATAAAGCTGGTAGAAGCCTGTAATGACCTCCCATCTCCTCTCTCCCCCCAGGTCCAGTATTCTCCAGGAGAGCCTGATAAAGCCTGTAATGATCTCCTCTCTCCCCCCCCAGGTCCAGTATTCTCCAGGAGAGCCTGATAAAGCTGGTAGAAGCCTGTAATGATCTCCTCTCTCCCCCCCCAGGTCCAGTATTCTCCAGGAGAGCCTGATAAAGCTGGTAGAAGCCTGTAATGACCTCCCATCTCCTCTCCCCCCCCCCCCCCCCAGGTCCAGTATTCTCCAGGAGAGCCTGATAAGCTGGTAGAAGCCTGTAATGACCTCCCATCTCCCCTCTCCCCCCCCCCCCAGGTCCAGTATTCTCCAGGAGAGCCTGATAAAGCTGGTAGAAGCCTGTAATGACCTCCCATCTCCCCTCTCTCCCCCCCAGGTCCAGTATTCTCCAGGAGAGCCTGATAAAGCTGGTAGAAGCCTGTAATGACCTCCCATCTCCCCTCTCTCCCCCCCAGGTCCAGTATTCTCCAGGAGAGCCTGATAAAGCTGGTAGAAGCCTGTAATGACCTCCCATCTCCTCTCCCCCCCCCCCAGGTCCAGTATTCTCCAGGAGAGCCTGATAAAGCTGGTAGAAGCCTGTAATGACCTCCCATCTCCTCTCTCCCCCCCCCCCCCCCCAGGTCCAGTATTCTCCAGGAGAGCCTGATAAAGCTGGTAGAAGCCTGTAATGACCTCCCATCTCCTCTCCCCCCCCCCCCCAGGTCCAGTATTCTCCAGGAGAGCCTGATAAAGCTGGTAGAAGCCTGTAATGACCTCCCATCTCCTCTCTCCCTCCCCCCCCCAGGTCCAGTATTCTCCAGGAGAGCCTGATAAAGCTGGTAGAAGCCTGTAATGATCTCCTCTCTCCCCCCAGGTCCAGTATTCTCCAGGAGAGCCTGATAAAGCTGGTAGAAGCCTGTAATGACCCTCCCATCTCCTATCTCTCCCCCCCCCCCCCCCCCCCCCAGGTCCAGTATTCTCCAGGAGAGGAGAGCCTGATAAAGCTGGTAGAAGCCTGTAATGACCTCCCATCTCCTCTCTCCCCCCCCCCAGGTCCAGTATTCTCCAAGGAGAGCCTGATAAAGCTGGTAGAAGCCTGTAATGACCTCCCATCTCCTCTCTCCCTCCCCCCCCCAGGTCCAGTATTCTCCAGGAGAGCCTGATAAAGCTGGTAGAAGCCTGTAATGACCAGAACCACAGTATGGACCGCTGGCTCAGTAAACTAGAAGCTTCTAACTGGCAGACTCACGTCAAGGAGATCCTCACTACTGCCTGTCTGGCTGCTCAGTGCATTGACAGGTAGGTAACTACTGTAGACATCTCTCTCTCTCTCTGTCTCTCTGTCTCTCTGTCTCTCTGTCTCTCTGTCCTCTCTCTGTTTCTCTATCTCTCTCTATATCTGTCTGTCTCTTTCTCTATCACTCTTTCTCTCTCTCTCTCTGTCTCTCTCTCTATATCTGTCTGTCTCTTTCTCTATCACTCTTTCTCTCTCTCTCTCTGTTTCTCTATCTCTCTCTCTGTTTCTCTCTCTCTCTCTCTCTGTTTCTCTATCTCTCTCTCTCTCTCTCTCTCTCTCTCTCTATATCTGTCTGTCTCTATCACTCTTTCTCTCTGTTTCTCTATCTCTCTGTTTCTATCTCTCTATCTGTCTGTTTCTGTCTCTCTTTCTCTATATCTCTCTGTTTCTGTCTATCTCTGTCTCTCTCTTTCTCTCTCTCTTTAAGTTAAACTCAATTAACCATTCTCCCTCTGGCGGCTGTGTGTCTCAGGGAGGGTGCGTCAGTACTTGTGCATGGGACAGAAGGGACAGACTCGACCCTACAGGTGACGTCTCTAGCTCAGATCATCCTGGACCCAGCCTGCAGGACCATACAGGGATTCCAAGCTTTAGTGGAGAGAGAGTGGCTGCAGGTAACACACAGACAGACAGACAGACACTCTGAGCCTGAGCTATCCTGACACCCCCCCCCCCCCCCCCAATAGCAAGCCTTCTCTCTCTCTCTCAAAATTCAATGAGGCTTGTGTGTAGATTGATGAGGGGGGGGGGGGGGGGGGGGGGGGGGGTTTAAATTTATTTTAGAATAAGTCTGTAACGTAACAAAGTGGAAAAAGTAAAGCGGTCTGAATACTTTCCGAACGCTCTGTATATACACTTAGAAATGTCCTTGTTTTTGAAAGAAAAGCAAACATTTTTGTCCATTAAAATAACATCAAATTGATCCGAAATACAGTGTAGACATTGTTAATGTTGTAAATGGCTTTTGTTGCTGGAAACGGCTAATTCTTAATGGAATATCTACATAGGCGTACAGAGGCCCATTATCAGCAACCATCAGTCCTGTGTTCCAATGGCACGTTGTGTTTGCTAATCCAAGTTTATCATTTTAAAAGGCTAATTGATCATTAGAAAACCCTTTCGCAATTATGTTAGCACAGCTGAAAACTGTTGTTCTGATTAAAGAAGCAATAAAACTGCCCTTCTTGAGACTAGTTGAGTATCTGGAGCATCAGCAATTGTGGTTTCGATTACAGGCTCAAAATGGCCAGAAACAAATAACTTTCTTCTGAAACTCATCAGTCTATTCTTGTTCTGAGAAATGAAGGCTATTCCATGCGAGAAATTGCCAAGAAACTGAAGATATCATACAACGCTGTGTACTACTCCCTTCACAGAACAGCGCAAACTGGCTCTAACCAGAATAGAAAGAAGAGTGGGAGGCCCCGGTGCACAACTGAGCAAGAGGACAAATACATTAGTGTTTGAGAAACAGACACCTCACAGGTCCTCAACTGGCAGCTTCATTAAATAGTACCAGCAAAATACCAGTCTCAACGTCAACAGTGAAGAGGCGACTCTGGGATGCTGACCTTCTAGGCAGAGTTGCAAAGAAAAAGCCATATCTCAGACTGGCCAATAAAAAGAAAAGATTAAGATGGGCAAAAGAACACAGGCACTGGATAGAGGAAAATTCGAAAAAGGTGTTATGGACAGACAAATCGAAGTTTTAGGTGTTCGGATCACAAAGAAGAACATTTGTGAGACTCAGACCAAATGAAAATATGCTGGAGGAGTGCTTGATGACATCTGTAAAGCATGGTGGAGGGAATGTGATGTTCTGGGGGTGCTCTGGTGGTGGTAAAGTGGGAGATTTGTACAGGGTAAAAGGGATCTTGAAGAAGAAAGGTTATCACTCCATTTTGCAACGCTATGCCATACCCTGTGGACGCCGCTTGATTGGAACCAATGTCCTCCTACAACAGGACAATGACCTAAAGCACAGCTCCAAGCTATGCAAGAACTATTTAGGGAAGAAGCAGTCAGCTGGTATTCTGTCTATAATGGAGTGGCCAGCACAGTCACCGGATCTCGACCCTATTGAGCTGTTGTGTGGGCAGCTTGACCGTACGGTACGTAAGAAGTGCCCATCAAGCCAATCCAACTTGTGGGAGGTGCTTCAGTAAATATGGGGTGAAATCTCTTCAGATTACCTCAACAAATTGACAACTAGAATGCCAAAGGTCTGTAAGGCTGTAATTGCTGCAAATTGAGGATTATTTGACAAAAGTAGTTTGAAGGACACAATTATTATTTCAATTAATAATCATTATTTCTAACCTTGTCAATGACTACATGTCCTATTCATTCTAATATATTTCCTATTCAAACTCATTTCATGTATGTTTTTATGGAAAACAAGGACATTTCTATGTGACCCCAAACTTTTGAACGGTAGTGTATATTGAAGAGGGTGGGGCTCAAGCTGCATCCCTGTCTCACCCCACGGCCCTGTGGAAACAAATCTGTGTTTTGTGTACATTTATTTTATAATATCGTAGGTTTTCCCTCCACCGCTTTCCATCAGTTTATACATCAGGCTTTTTTTTAAAGCAACAAAGTATGAGAATACGTTGTTTTGGTTTGTTGGTTTGTCAATATAGCCTTGTTCATATTTGGCCGTTTTTTTAAATTACTCATCCAATTATTCCTATTCAAATCTGTTCTTTTTCCTGCAGTCTGAACAGTCAAAAAGCACATGGAATATGATATTTCAAGCCAAATTTCAAATCACCTTCGTAGGTGGTTTTAAATCAGATACAAATCTGATTTCTGGCCATGCGACTTGTCTGAACGGTCAAATCTGATTTATTTGCCCTTAAGTGGTTTTTAGACTGTTATTTGGCTTGTTGCTGGCTAGCTACTCTTTTGACAGTTTGACAAGAACATGTGGAAGCTAACTAGCTTGTTTACAAACAAATTAGTGATTGTGGCCAAAAAGGACTCGTTTTGAAAGTTGGATCATCTTTTACTTTGGGGTTTTAAAATTGTTCTTACACTGATTTTCACCATTCAAAGCAACTGGGAAACATCCATAGCAGGCATTGTTGTCACCTTCGCTTGCTATATAACTTCTGAGTGATACGAAGCATGAGCACCACCACCAATTGGCCTACACCACTGTGTACACATCGGTCGTTACTATGACAACTAGCATAGCCATGTCAGCAAATGACTGTTGTCTGAACACTCGCATCCGATTTGGTCACTTGTAACTTGCTGTTTGGACAGTCAGTATTCCAAAACGGATTTGAAAAACAACTGATTTGAGAATTAAGGCCTGCAGTGTGAACAAGGCTTAAGGTTGTGCAGGAGGTATACGTGGTCTGTCAAACGATATTTTGGTAAGAAGACAATTTTGACATTTCCTCAGGACATTGTTTTCACTGAGGAAATGTTGGAGTCTGCAGAGGATTTTTCAGAGACTGCTGTTGAAACCGATTCCATGGTAATTAATGGGGTCAAATTTGTCTCCCACTTTTGTGGATTGGAGTGATCAGACCTTGCTTCCAAATATTGGGGAAGATGCCAGAACTTAGGATAATGTTGAAGAGTTTAAGAATAGCCTGTTTTGAATTGTCTGTATATTTTATCATTTCATTTAGTATACCATCAACACCACAGGCCTTTTTTGGGTTGGAGGGTTTGTATTTTGTCCTCTAGCTCATCCAATGTAATTGGAGAATCCAGTGGGTTCTGGTAATCTCTAATAGCGGATTCTATGTTTTGTAAACGGTCATGGATATGTTTTTTGCTCATGGTTCTTTGTTATATATCTCTCCCTCCTCCATCTAGGCGGGCCATCCGTTCCAGCAGCGTTGTTCCCAGTCAGCCTACAGTAACAGTAAGCCCCGTTGTGAAGCCCCGGTGTTCCTGCTCTTCCTAGACTGTGTGTGGCAGATCCTCCGCCAGTTTCCCTGCTCCTTCCAGTTCTCGCAACACTTCCTGGTTCTGCTCTTCGAACACGCCTACGCCTCGCAGTTCGGGACCTTCATGGGTAACAGTGCTTCCGAGAGGTCAGTCAGAGAATTACGTCCTGAGAGTCATACGTTATGTTTAGTTATGACTCATTCCACATTTTGTTGTGCTACAGCCTGAATTCAAAATAGATTCAATGTATTTATTTTCTCACCCGTCTGCACACAATACCCCATAATAACAAAGTGAAAACATGTTTTTGGAAATGTTAGCAAATGTATTGAAAATTAAATACAGAAATATCTCTTTTACATAGGTATTCACACCCCTGAGTCAATACATGTTAGAATCACCTTTGGCAGCGATTACAGTTGTGTGTCTTTCTGGGTAAGTCTCTAAGAGCTTTCCACACCTGGATTGTGCAATATTTGCACATTATTCTTTAAATAATTCTTCATGTTCTATCAAGTTGATCATTGCTAGAAAACCCTTTTCAGGTCTTGCCATAGATTTTCAAGCCAATTTAAGACAAAACTGTAACTAGGCCACTCAGGAACATTCAATGTCGTCTTGGTGAGCAACTCTAGTGTATATTTGGCCTTGTGTTTCAGGTTATTGTCCTGCTGAAAGGTGAATTTGTCTCCTAGTGTCTGTTGAAAAGCAGACTGAACCAAGTTTTCCTCTAGGAAAAAAAAACTCCCTAGTCCTTGTTGATGACAAGCATACCCATAACAGGATGCAGCCACCACCACGCTTGAAAATATGAAGAGTGGTACTCAGTGATGTGATGTGTTGGATTTGCCCCAAACATAACGCTTTGTATTCAGGACATAAAGTGAATGTCTTTGCCACATTTCTTTTGCAGATTTACTTTAGTGCCTTCTTGCAAACAGGATGCATGTTTTGGAATATTTTTATTCTTTACAGGATTTTTTCTTTTCACTCTGTCATTTAGGTTAATATTGTGGAGTAACTACAATGTTGTTGATCCATCCTCAGTTTTCTCCTATCACAGCCAATAAATTCTGTAACTGTTTTAAAGTCACCATTGGCCTCATGGTGAAATCCCTGAGCGGTTTCCTTCCTCTACGACAACTGAGTTAGGAAGGACGCATGTACCTTTGTAGTGACTCTGTGTATTGATACACCATCCTAAGTGTAATTAATAACTTCACCATGCTCAAAGGGATATTCAATGTCTGCTTATTTTTATTTATACCAATCTACCAATAGGTGGGCTTCTTTGCGAGGCATTGGAAATCCTCCCTGGTCTTTGTGGTTGAATCTGTGTTTGAAATTCACTGCTTGACTGAGGGACCTTACAGATAATTGTATGTGTGGGGTACAGAGATGAGGTAGTCATTAGAAAAATCATGTTAAACACTATTATTGCACACAGAGTGACTCCATGCTATTTATTATATGACAAAAGGGTTGAATACTTATTGACCCAAGACATTTCAGCTGTTCATTTTTAATTTATTTGTAAACATTTCTAAAAAACTTAATTCCACTTTGACATTATGGGGTATTGTGTGTCGGCCAGTGACAAATACATCTCAAATTCAGGCTGTAACAACAAAATGTGGAAAAGGTCAAAGGGTGTGAATACTTCCTGAAGACACTGTATATCTACATGTCATCCATGATATTCCCTTTATAGTGCTGTACATTTGACCAGGGCCCATACAGTACATTGCCAGTTCTGCTGTTTCCCCTGACCTTTAACCTGTGACCTGGTCAGCCAGTCACAGGTCAGCGTTACCTCAGACAGTCAGCCAGAGAGTGTGTGGTCTACAGGGGATAATCTCTGTTCACTGGGGATACACAAGTTACTGCTAAAGTTCCCCCTCTAAGTCTGACACTAATACGTCTTTAAAGAGCCACTGCACAGGCCGATTGGCATGTTTTTCTGTTGCTCATAAAAATAAAAATAAAAGATTTCAGTCTTGGAGGTGTGTTTCCTGACCGATTCCACGTTTGGTTAATAATGTTTTGTCCCCCATGAAACACTGCCTATTTCACTTCCTCAAAATCCCCAGAATGAATCGAAGATAACTCAAGGAAGCAGTCATTAATTCTGATGTTCTTTTCCGAAGTTGTTTGGTGCAGCAAATGGACATCGTCAAATCAAAACCCAACCTTTTTTAATTTACCAGTTGTGACTCATGGATGTGAAAAATTATCCTATTTACACTTTGTAGTCAATTTTGACACCTAGAATAACTGTTTCTGTTTTAATATCGACGCCACGAGCCGTTTTCAACGTTTTTTTTTTTTTTTTTTTTTTTTAAAGGCAGTCCCTCTTTAAGAGTGCATCCTAAATGGTACCCTATTCCCTTTATAGTGCACTACGTGCTCTGCTCCCTATTCCCTTTATAGTGCACTACGTGCTCTGCTCAAAAGTAGTGCCATCTGGGACGCAGCCGTGCGCGTCACTCAGGGGGGGTCTGTGCTGACTGGAGTGTGTTCCCCTGCTGTTCCAGCTCCACCTGCCTTACCTCCAGCTGGGGGGATTTATCCTTCATTTCAATGAGGGAGTAGTACTCTGTGCTGGGAAGTTGACTTTTCTCTTGGGGTTGGTCGTCTGTGGGGTTATTTTAATGAAGAGGTCTGGTCTGACCCGCTCGGGGTATCTTTCTCAAGGGAGAGCTTCTCCTGCTGAGCTATTTCTTTGATTAGGTGAAAGTCCAGCTGGAACTGTTTGGTGTTGCCCTGTACCAATACTGTTCCAGATTTAGTCCTCGTTGTCCAGTATCCTGAGTTTCCACCCGTCGATAACACCCCTCCTCTTAACAGAGGGGTAGTGTGCTAGTATAGCACTGTGCCATGCCAGGGGATGGTCTGTGTGGAAGATAAGGTTGCTTATGTTCCCATTTTTATAAAAGTCAACAAAAAGTGTCTCTTGAGTTCCCATAAGGAGCTTCATTCTGTACTCTTTTCGTGTCTTTTCATTATTTACATACACATTTTAATGACCTCTGAACAACGGGAGGGGGGGTGCTTCTGGGCCTGGAAATGATTGATTTCCCACTGTTTCCCCCCCCCCACACTTCTGTCTCTCCCTCCCTCCCTCTCTCCCTCCACACCCCAGGTCTAAGTTGAACCTGTCTCAGAAGACGGTCTCTCTGTGGTCGTGGGTGAACCGGCCCCAGGAAGTGGAGAGGCTGTCTAACCCGCTCTACGAGGCCAACTGTCTGGTTATATGGCCCTCTGTAGCCCCTCAGAGCCTGCTACTATGGGAGGGTAAGAACCTGACTCCATTCCTGACCCCTGACCCCTGAGCCCTGACCAAACGTTCTGCCCACTCCCAGGTCGGTGTTCAGTCTATTCACGAGTAGAGAGGGTTTAGGGGAGCTCGACACTTACTCATTCAGACAAACGACTTGCAACATCAAAAATTCCAAACCACATTTTGTGTGAGAGCAGTTTTTTATTTTTAGGTTGGTAGTTACTGTTAATGTTACAAAATATCTGTTGTTGTGCAACATTGTGACCAGTTATTATAAAATATTGTAGTCAGGCAACATATGAAATGTGAATAGGCAACATTTCATTCCGAAGTCGGAGTGTATTTTCTCTCACTTCAGATCAAATAATGTCCACCATTGATTTCAATAAATGTTGCGTTGTTTTTTACTTGGTTGCGTCATATTTCTTTGCATACTTTCTGTTGCTTGCATTGATGCATGCTTCAAAATATGTACATACGGAGTACACGTTCGAGAAGTGCCCTCCGTGCTCCGTTTTGCATACTTTGATTTGGACTCATACTCCCATGCTTCAATGTGCGTGCTCGGAGCACGGTGGCATGCATTTTGAGGAACGCCCCATGTGTGTGTTTAGCGGTTTTTTTATCATGTGTCATCATACTGCCTGCTCTCTTCATCCTCCTCCCTCATTTCCTCAATCTCTCCTGGTCACCTTCTTTCAGTCTCGCTCTTCCTACATATACTCACCAGGAGGGGGCAGTGTGCTGCTTGGTGTTTAGAACCACTAAACCAGGAGGGGGCAGTGTGCTGCTTGGTGTTTGAGAACCACTGAACCAGGAGGGGGCAGTGTGCTGCTTGGTATTTTAAAACCACCGAACCAGGAGGGGGCAGTGTGCTGCTTGGTGTTTTAAAACCACTGAACCAGGAGGGGGCAGTGTGCTGCTTGGTGTTTTAAAACCACCGAACCAGGAGGGGGCAGTGTGCTGCTTGGTGTTTTAAAACCACTGAACCAGGAGGGGGCAGTGTGCTGCTTGGTGTTTTAAAACCACTGAACCAGACCAGAAATAAACCAACTTTCTGAAGAGTCAACAACGACAGGCATGTGTGTGTCAGGGCTCGAACATACAGGGGAGGTTTTTGGGAACTCTCCAGGCCAGTCGATAATCCCTGTCAGTGGCCAGTGGAAAAAAATATTGTAATAATTATATTTTTAATCTAGGCTATATAATTGATTTTTTTTTTAAACCGATAGATTCCCGAAGCTGTTCGTTATGTTGATTTTAATTTATCGCGCGCGCTGCACACATATATAGATAATCTGTCGGTCAGAGAGAGAGTGCACAAACAGATGTTTTTGGTGGAGCGAAGGCCGACAGCGACAGGGTACGAAATATGTTCCAAGTTTATATCTACCAGTAAATGCTAAGGCAGGAATGCGTATGCAAACCAGGTATTTAAAAAGTTCAGTCTCTTAATATTTTTATGCGCAATTCAGTCTTTCATGGAATAGCCTACCTTGAAAATCAGACATTTCCTCTAGGCTATTTGGTCCTTGAAAAGTCCTTGGAAGTTGGTAGCCAATTTAGAAATTCTACTGCTCCAATATAATTATTCCGTGATTTTCATTTCTGATCCGTTTTTTATGAGAGATGTAGGCACTTTTTGTCTGTTTCCCCGCCGTTTTAATTCAAAGGTGTTGCACCAGTCTGTTATTATGAATGTTGGCTTCAACTTGGTTTTCCATACAAAGCGTTCCATTATAAAGGAACCAGGTTTTGGGTCTCTTTCTTGTTTTGAAACATGCCACAGTAACCCTTCTAACGCTTCCAACATCTCAAATGGAGAGACTGATCGCTACATGGACAGTGTGTTTGTGTCGGGAGCATGTTGTCTATTTAGTCAGGCAATGGCCATATTATACTGACATATTGCGGAACGTAAAAATAATGTGAATGTCAATGCATAATGCCATTTGTGTAGGCCTAATTAAAAAATTCATTATTCTTAAAGTGGTAATGCATACTTTTTTTGCTACATTTTTGGGGGATTTTTTTTCTTCTATAGGCTATTACAACAAATATAAAATCTAGGTCCTTGAAAATTTATAATTAAGTGCTTAGAAAAAGTCCTTGAATTTGACTTGCCAATGTCTGTATGAACTCTGTATAGGCTACCTGCTCAGCCTGCAAATGAAAGATAAAATCCCCTGCTATTGAAATTATGCACGCATCATATGCCTTCCTGTCAGATCTTGACCCAGGCCAGTGTATTCAGGCCGGTAGCTGTCAGTTTGCCACTGGCCCGGTGTGCCCCTGGCAAATTTACCTGAATGTCAGGCCCTGCTGTGTGAGGTGCGCGTAGGGCTGTTATGGCTCAACAAGCTCTGTCTCACATCAGAAGTAATGTTCATCAGTGGTTCTCAAACGGGTTAAGGTTTGGGTAGGCTTTAAACAAAAATAAAAAAATAAACAACTTTCTATCACTGGATTTTGAACATGCAACCAAACTGCAAAGAATTCCAGTTGCCTGAAACTGATCTTTCTAGTTCCTCTGGATAGTTTAAGTGAAAGACAGACCATTTATGAAAGTCAGGCAAGATTATTTTTGTAACCAATAGCAACCAAAATACAAAGAATTCCAGTACTAATCTTTCTGGTTCCTCTATGTGAAGGTGAAAACAGGCAGTATATGCCACCTCTGTGTGTAAAATAGCTAGGTTAATTAAAATTTTCGGATAAGTAATCGGGCAACCCAAAGATACTCCTAACTTGACTAATGGGCAAGTGCCTTTCAGAGTTTAATGTAAATCCCTGGACAGGCTTACGAAGCTCATATTACCAGACGTCACTGAATTCCACCCTGGCATTATCTCCATAGCTGGGATGGTAGCTATTTGTGGCACGTTGACTGACTCTCTCTGCCCCCCTCCTCCAAAGTGTCCTGCGTGGTTAGCTTATTATAGGACGTCCTTACGGATATTGGGGTGTCCTCACTCACTGTCACTGTGTAGTAGGGATGTCTCCACAGAAGGTTACGTGCTAATTGCCGATGTCCACCAGATACATATGCGTTTTTGTTTTGCCGGATGTCTAGGCCGCATTTTCCGCACTTGACACCCAAGTGCTTCTCTTTTCAACTAGCTAAAAGCTATTGGAGTCTGTGTGTTATAGATATACAGTGGGGGGGGGGGAGTATTTAGTCAGCCACCAATTGTGCAAGTTCTCCCACTTAAAAAGCTGAGAGAGGCCTGTAATTTTCATCATAGGTACACGTCAACTATGACAGACAAATCACATTGTAGGATCTTTTAATGAATTTATTTGCTAATTATGGTGGAAAATAAGTATTTGGTCACCTACAAACAAGCAAGATTTCTGGCTCTCACAGACCTGTAACTTCTTCTTTAAGAGGCTCCTCTGTCCTCCACTCGTTACCTGTATTAATGGCACCTGTTTGAACTTGTTATCAGTATAAAAGACACCTGTCCACAACCTCAAACAGTCCCACTCCAAACTCCACTATGGCCAAGACCAAAGAGCTGTCAAAGGACACCAGAAACAAAATTGTAGACCTGCACCAGGCTGGGAAGACTGAATCTGCAATAGGTAAGCAGCTTGGTTTGAAGAAATCAACTGTGGGAGCAATTATTAGGAAATGGAAGACATACAAGACCACTGATAATCTCCCTCGATCTGGGGCTCCACGCAAGATCTCACCCCGTGGGGTCAAAATGATCACAAGAACGGTGAGCAAAAATCCCAGAACCACACGGGGGGACCTAGTGAATGACCTGCAGAGAGCTGGGACCAAAGTAACAAAGCCTACCATCAGTAACACTCTACGCCGCCAGGGACTCAAATCCTGCAGTGCCAGACGTGTCCCCCTGCTTAAGCCAGTACATGTCCAGGCCCGTCTGAAGTTTGCTAGAGTGCATTTAGATGATCCAGAAGAGGATTGGGAGAATGTCATATGGTCAGATGAAACCAAAATAGAACTTTTTGGTAAAAACTAAACTCGTCGTGTTTGGAGGACAAAGAATGCTGAGTTACATCCAAAGAACACCATACCTACTGTGAAGCATGGGGGTGGAAACATCATGCTTTGGGGCTGTTTTTCTGCAAAGGGACCAGGACGACTGATCCGTGTAAAGGAAAGAATGAATGGGGCCATGTATCGTGAGATTTTGAGTGAAAACCTCCTTCCATCAGCAAGGGCATTGAAGATGAAACGTGGCTGGGTCTTTCAGCATGACAATGATCCCAAACACACCGCCCGGGCAACGAAGGAGTGGCTTCGTAAGAAGCATTTCAAGGTCTTGGAGTGCCCTAGCCAGTCTCCAGATCTCATCCCCATAGAAAATCTTTGGAGGGAGTTGAAAGTCCGTGTTGCCCAGCGACAGCCCCAAAACATCACTGCTCTAGAGGAGATCTGCATGGAGGAATGGGCCAAAATACCAGCAACAGTGTGTGAAAACCTTGTGAAGACTTACAGAAAACGTTTGACTTGTGTCCTTGCCAACAAAGGGTATATAACAAAGTATTGAGAAACTTTTGTTATTGACCAAATACTTATTTTCCACCATCATTTGCAAATAAATTCATGAAAAATCCTACAATGTGATTTTCTGGATTTTTTTTTCCTAATTTTGTCTGTCATAGTTGACGTGTACCTATGATGAAAATTACAGGCCTCTCTCATATTTTTAAGTGGGAGAACTTGCACAATTGGTGGCTGACTAAATACTTTTTTTCCCCACTGTACACTAGGGGCTCGATTCAATCAGTATCGTGGAAGTTCAGCGCTATAGTGCGATTTAAATTTAAGAAGGCAATGTTCGCACATTCGCGGAGACTGCATTCACGGTAAACGCTGCATACAGTATGTCTGCTCAATCAGAAACAACCTTTACATTTCAATCGTGGTAGAACTCTAAACTTCCACGATACGGATTGAGCCCTAAATCATATGATTCAGATTGTGCACAATATGCTCCTCCTTCCTAAACAATCTAAAAGGTATGCAGACGTGAAATGCAATTACTCAGACGAAGAAGTCCATCATATGATAAAGTGAGTCGTACCACTGGTCGAAGCCTATCTAGAATGTATCATACATTCTCAAAGAAAAGTATTTTCCTCATCCGCCTGTAATCTTTCCAATAGGATTATTCTTGTAGTATTTTTGCAGATAAATGATGAAACATTAGGCTGATTGTCCCTCGCCTGGTGCAGGTATAGCAAAGACATATGACACAAACATGATGAAGCATATTCTGACATGTATTGTTGTCCAAAGTTGCTGTTCAGTCCTTTTTTAATGAATGGGATGAAGTGACCGTTAATAAAATGTGATGGTGGAATGCACTCAACATAATCAACCATTAGCTTTGTAGGAAGGTACGGAGTTATTGTGATTGGTTGGTTACTTGGATATGATGTGTTTGTCATTCTCTCTCTCTCTCTCTCTCTCTCTCTCTCTCTCTCTCTCTCTCTCTCTCTCTCTCTCTCTCTCTCTCTCTCTCTCTCTCTCTCTCTCTGTCTCTGGTCTCTGTCTCTGTCTCTGTCTCTGTCTCTGTCTCTGTCTCTCTGTCTCTCTCTCTTTCCCCTCATTCCCCTCCAGGTGTGTTCCTGCGTTGGAAGCGCAGCTCCAGGTGTCTGGACGAGGCATATGATGAGATGGTTCATATCATACAGTACAACAAGGAGCTGCAGAATAAAGTCAACAACCTCAGGAGACAGCTGGCCCAACTGGAGACTGAGGACCCTCTGCTGCAAACACCATAGAGGAGAGGAGAGGAGGAGAGAGAGGAGAGGAGTAGGAGAGGAGAGGAGAGGAGAGGAGAGGAGTAGGAGAGGAGTAGGAGATGAGTAGGGGTGTAGGAGAGGAGATGAGTAGGAGAGGAGAGGTGAGGTGAAGGAGAGGAGATGAGTAGGGGTGAAGGAGAGGAGAGGTGGAGAGGAGAGGTGAGGTGAAGGAGAGGAGATGAGTAGGGGTGAAGGAGAGGAGATGAGTAGGGGTGAAGGAGAGGAGAGGTGGAGAGGAGAGGTGAGGAGAGGGAGCGGAAGAGGAAGAGGAGGGAGAAGGAGAGGACGAAGATTAGAGGAGAGGAGACAACACTAGGTTACTACTCAATAGAGACCTGAGGCTGTATCTATCAAACATCTTGGACAGGAGGGACCTGATCCTAGATCAGTACTTCTACTCTATGTAATGTTATTTATTATTATATAAAAGGCTAAACTGATGCTCACGGTCCCAGAAGAAGAGAAAGAAAACCCAGGGAAAGACATGAACAGGGACGGGGTAGAGGGACGGGGTGCGAGAGACTGGGTGCGAGAGACGGAGGCCCTTTTTGAATACTTTAAAAATGCTTGCTCATCTTTAAGTAATGCAGTAGATTCCTTGCTTTACACCAATCCACAGGGAGGGAGAGACTGTATGTATGTACGTACATATTACAGACACGTATAGATATGTTCGTCATGCTAGCCCCGGTCACCGGCTGCCCAACCTTTAGTAACCCCACACCTAAAACACAGAGTAGACACCCATTCACGCACCTCAGCCAGATTATGAAAGGTTCTTATTGCTGGGATACGAGGACACTTTGTAGCACTACTCTGAGTAACCATGGCAACACGTGCCAGTGTGCTTTGGACACACAGACACACTGACCAACTTATGATTTATTACATTCCAAAAATCAGGAGGTTTGAAAATACAAATGTTGTAAAAATTAAAACACATCGTCGCTGTCTAAAATAAAACCATATATCTCCAAAATGGAAACTTTTCATCAAATTGAGAGAAGAAAATACTACATTTAACCATAGTCTTGGTACATGTTACTACTGCCATTGCTGTTCTGCTTTAAAATAGCTTTTTGGGAGAGGTATTTCATGTGTAATATTGTTATTATACTAGCTAACTACAGTAGATGGAAACTTAATTATGTTGTATATTTAACACTATGATGTACCTGTTTTGTAAGTTTTAATTGACTTGCTGTCTTCATCGGCCAAAATGTCTTAAGATAGCAGTATAGGGTGGTCAACAGGGTTGGGGTTCATTCCATTTCAATCCAGAAAGTAAACCAAATTCCCGAATGTTCCTAGTTAAAATGCATTGAAGAAAATTGGAATTGGAATTGGAATTTCAGTGCACTTCCTGAATTTAAATGGAATTGACCCCAAACCTTGGTGGCCCTTCGATCACCTCTGACCAGAACATCGACCGTCATCTTCTGTTCATTTCCTGATGATTCTACATGTTGAGTCGCCGCCGGACGTTGACACCCAGCGGGGCTAACATCCTTCTGCTTTCTGGTGTGTTTCAGTTAGAAGACCCACAGTAAAAAAAAAATACTGACACTTGAGGTTGAGCGATCAGTCATCTTATGACGTGACACAAAGCGACATAAACATTCATAAACCTCTTATTTCCTATGTCATACATGTTTGCCCAAAGTAACACATGTTTCTGTCAGGTGTAATGCGGTGGTGTCCATAGCAACCCTCCATGCATCCCAAATGGGAAAGGGCAACACCTAGTCCATAATAGTACACTCTGGACCATTACTTACAGTTTAGTCATTTAGCAGACGCTCTTATCCAGAGCGACTTACAGTTAAGCGAGTGCGAGTGCATACATTTTTCATACTGGTCCCCCCCCCCCCGGGAATCGAACCCACAACCCTGGCGTTGCAAGCGCCACGCTCTACCAACTGAGCTACAGGAGGCCTTAACATAGGGAAATAGGATACCATGCAGTACACGGGTATTCCTTGATTTTGTCGTCCTTAAATCTATGAACAGTGTAGCTACACTGTCTTGATAATGTGACCGACTGGCTACTGTAGGGGGGGGGCAGCCTGCGTTCTGCTAAGTCAGGGTTGGGTAGCCACGCCAACGCCACCGTAGGGGGGGGCAGCCTGCGTTCTGCTAAGTCAGGGTTGGGTAGCCACGCCAACGCCAACGCCACCGTAGGGGGGGGCAGCCTGCGTTCTGCTAAGTCAGGGTTGGGTAGCCACGCCAACGCCAACGCCACCGTAGGGGGGGGCAGCCTGCGTTCTGCTAAGTCAGGGTTGGGTAGCCACGCCAACGCCACCGTGGGGGGGGCAGCCTGCGTTCTGCTAAGTCAGGGTTTGGTAGCCACGCCAACGCCACTGTCATTTGGGAAAAGCTATTATCTATTTTTCCATTGACCGACTTAAGAGACAGATCTGGATCTGTATGTTGAAAGAGTTTCTGAAAAGGGGTCAACGTTTGATGTCTGCTCATATCTATATATATATATATATATATATATATATTGTCTTGTAAACATATATAATGATTTGCATGTATGAATGGCTTTTAGATGGTCAAACTAGTTAAGGCTTCAGAATGACATAGGAAAGAGCTGTACATACCAGCATATATCTGTGTCCACTATTATCACGTGGGTTATTATTAGGCTCATACTATACTATAAATAAAGGTTAAATAAAAAAATTAAATAAAAAAATACCATATATTATTGCTGTTATTAGACAAAAGTTCTACTTTTTATTCTTCTCATGTTCTGATTGACAGTCACACCTCTGATCCTTACGGGAGAAAATATTCTGTTTAATCAAAGTAAAATATTTTAGTTTTTCTATCGTCTCTGTTTAGTTTCTTCTTCTGTCTTTTGAAATGAACCTTTTATTGTGTGATTTAAATTAAATAGAATGTTTCTAGGGCATTAAAAGATGATTTGTGCTAAAGGCATTGATGTGTCCCACGTGTGTCTATTGTGTCTGTGTTTCCGTCCCAATACTTATTTCAGACAGGTTTTAGGGACTGGCCCCAATGACGTTGTCAGCTTCACACCGGACAGGCGTACACTACATGACCGAAAGTATGTGGACACCTGCTCGTCGAACATCTCATTCCAACATCATGGGCATTAATATGGAGTTGGTCCCCCCCCTTTGCTGCTATAACAGCCTCCACTCTTCTGGGAAGGCTTTCCACTAGATGTTGGAACATTTCTGCGAGGACTTGCTTCCATTCTGCCACGAGCGTTAGTCAGCGTTCCAATTCATGTTCGATGGGGTTGAGGTCAGGGCTCTGTGCAGGCCAGTCAAGTTCTTCCATGCTGATCTCGACAAACCATTTCTGTATGGACCTCGCTTCCACTAAACCCAGATTCATCCGTCAGACTGCCAGATGGTGAAGTGTGATTCATCACTCCAGAGAACACGTTTCTACTGCTCCAGAGTCCAATGGCAGCGAGCTTTACACCACTCCAGCCGATGCTTGGCATTGGGCCATGGAAACCCATTTCATGAAGCTCCCGAAGAACAGTTATTGTGCTGACGTTGCTTCCAGAGGCAGTTTGGAACTCAGTAGTGAGTGTTGCAAGCGAGGACAGCTGATATTTACACGCTTCAGCACTCGGCGGTCCCGTTCTGTGATCTTGTGTGGCCTACCACTTCACGGCCGAGCCGTTGTTGCTCCTAGACGTTTCCACTTCACAATAACAGCATTTACAGTTGACCGGGGCAGCTCTAGCAGGGCAGGAATTTTACGAACTGACTTGTTGGAAAGGTGGCATCCTATGACGGTGCCACGTTGAAGGCCATTCTACTGCCAATGTTTGTCTGTGGAGATTGCATGGCTGTGTGCTCGATTTTATACACGTGTCAGCAACGGGTGTGGCTGAAATAGCCAAATCCACTCATTTGAAGGGGAGCCCAAATACTATTGTATTTACAGTGCATTCAGAAAGTATTCAGACCCCTTCCCTTTTTCCACATTTTGTAACGTTACAGCCTTATTCTAAAATGGATAAAATAAACATGTTCCTCATCAATCTACACACAATACCTCATAATGACAAAGCGAAAACAGGTTTTCAGAAATGTTTGCAAATGTATAAAACAATTAAAACAGATACCTTAGTTACATAAGTATTCAGACCCTTTGCTATGAGGTTCGAAATTGAGCTCAGATGCATCCTGTTTCCATTGATCATCCTTGAAATGTTTCTACATCTTGATTGGAGTCCACCTGTGGTAAATTCAAATAATTGGACATATAAGGTCCCACACTTGACAGTGCATGTCAGAGCAAAAACCAAGCCATGAGGTCGAAGGAATTGTCCATAGAGCTCCGAGACATGATTGTATCGAGGCACAGATCTGGGGAAGGGTACCAAAAAATGTCTGAGCATTGAAGGTCCCCAAGAACACAGTGGCCTCCATCATTCTTAAACTGGAAGAACTTTGGAACCACCAAGACTCTTCCTAGAGCTGGCCGCCCGGCCAAACTGAGAAATTGGGGGAGAAGGCCTTGGTCAGGGAGGTGACCAAGAACCCGATGGTCACTGACAGAGCTCCAGAGTTCCTCTGTGGAGGTGGGAGAACCTTCCAGATGGACAACCATCCCTGCAGAACTCCACCAATTTGGCCTTTATGGTAGAGTGGCCAGATGGAAGCCACTCCTCAGTAAAAGGCACGTGACAGCCCGCTTGGAGTTTGCCAAAAGGCACCTAAAGGACTCTCAGACCATGAGAAACAAGATTCTCTGGTCTGATGAAACCAAGATTGAACTCTTTGGCCTGAATGCCAAGCGTGAAGTCTGGAGGAAACCAGGCATCATCCCTACGGTGAAGCATGGTGGTGGCAGCGTCATGATGTGGGGATGTTTTTCAGTGGCAGGGACTGGAATACTAGTAGGTTTGAGGGAAAGATGAACGGAGCAAAGTACAGAGAGTCAATTTGCAAAAAAATCTAAAAACCTTATTTTGCTTTGTCATT